TAGGCAGCCTTTCATAAGGTTCAGTCCGAAATCAATCAAACCTTTTTTCCTATCTTTTTCCGTCTTTCGTTATCGAGCTGCGACTCGACTAGATCTAGGGTTTTATGTTTGTAACTCGCTGATGGCCCCTGCGGCCAAAGCCTTTGTAATTCCCTATAATGATCGCAACGTTCTTACGCGAATCAGAAATAAGATCGACTTTCTTTATAAATTCGTTTTATTGCGTTTTTCATATTTTCCGCATTTATTTGGTTACTTGTCGTTGGCTTTCGCAGAGATTCGGTTCCTCTGGGAAATTAGGGTTTTCCTAAGTTTCCTTATTTAACAGAAATCGACAAGTGTGAATCTCGGTTCCCACAGTTTTGACAACGATATCGGACGATATGGGTTGCCATCGATCGATGACTCTATAGGAGTATCGATAGATATAACATAAGATCGAATCAAAACTGTGTTCACCAAGATCATAGACCGGCTCTCGCACATCCCTAGAGGATCTAAGCTTATGCCAAATTATTTCAGGACAATAATTAACAAGTTAAATCACATCCATGATCATACTCTAGTTAGCTACTCTAGAGTAAGCATTAGGGTTCATTTGGATAATGAATATCACAACTCAACATTCCATAGTTAGGGCTAATCCCTCATAACTATTTGAACCCTAAATCTAACAAAGGAATCTACTCAGACATAGCTAAGAGATTCATAACAGCAAGGTAATAATAGAAATTCATAAGATTATAAGATTGAACTTTTGGTTCTTGAAACAACAAATTTCTTTGTGTGTTTCTTCTAAATCTAGAATTCTATAACCTTTGAGAATTAAGATAAAAAGAATACTTTATGGCTAAGTATAAAATAGTATCAAAAGCACAAAAGAATACATAGCCAAAACACATAGGCAAAAACTATAAATATGAGTTCCATTAGGTTAAAAACTAGTCAGGGGCAATCTTGTAATATTGGGAAAACTTGGGCTTCAAGTTGGCCAAGTCGGACTTGTTCTCCACGCTTCATATCGATCGATGGTACATGGCGTACATCGATCGATGGAGTATCTCAACTTCATCTTCTATGGAAGCGTCATCGATCGATTACACAGAGTGTGTATCGATCGATATGTATACTTGTTGTCTGATCTTCATAGTCATCTCGGAAAACTCTCCTTTAAGCTCCATAAGGGCACCTAAATCATCACTTTACTCCAAAATGCTCCTGAACCTAAAAACATAACTAATAGACTCCAAAACATATATAAAACTTATAAAAACATATTAATACCATGGCTAAAAGCGGGTCAAAATCATGGTATATCAACTCCCCCAGACCTAACCTTTTGCTTGTACTCAAGCAAACCATTAGTCTTTTTGGAAGAAGTTTAAAAACAGTAGGGACTCAATAAAATCTTAACTTTAAAATCATCACCTCTACTTTGTTGCAAGCCACATCTCGAGTTCCGTTGGACCTCTCACTTGAACAAGCTAACTATAGAAGTACATTATACCATATCCTAGCTTAGCAACCAAATTCATCTAGTCAATCAACTTAAACAATCATGTCTGTCTATCCACTCTACTGATTTCATTTATGCATAAAATAAAGGTGTAGGCTTTACCTTGGGAGTATCGATCAAAGAACATTTGGATTCAACTCAAACAAGTTTCAGGCATTCTCATTATGGTTCCTTTTCTCTCTTTATCTCCCTTCTCTGAATTTTTAACTTTCTTTTCTTTTATATCAATCCCAATGAACAACTAATGTTCATCTTATTGATCTTTCAACTTTTTATAGCCTTTTTGACAAAGTGTAGGCGAATAGTGGGGTCATAGGTAATTTACCTCTCCCTCGCTTCCACAATGTGTGATCATTCCTTTGATTTAGAATAGTGGGGTCATGGGTAGTGTACCTCTCCCTCTGGCTCTCAGGAAATCATCTCAATCTTTTATTTTCTCTTTTTGGGATACCAAATGAAGAAGAGAAAGAAACCAAATTTTTTTACTTTTACCTTCCAGATTTGCATGAGGATTCCGATCCCTTGTATACCAAGCCCCAAGGCAAGCAATAGATGTCAGGTTAGGTTGGAAATCAGCTTTGGTTCTTCCAAACAATCATGAAAAGTGTTGTCATAGGATGATCGGTGATCCACTTTAGCATCTATAGTACTTTCTGCAGTCAATAATTCTAAGAATGGTGCTAAAGAGTAGTAAGATAAAAAGCAAAATTTTTGAAATCTTTTTGTCCCTTTCTTGACTCAATAAAACCAAGTTTTGAAAACTTTTTAAAGAGATCAAAAAGGTAAAGTAGCATCAGTAATTCCACTCCCCCCCCCCAGACTTAAATCATACACTGTCCTCAGTGTATAATTAGTCGGAGTTAGAGCATAAGAAATAATAAATGTATAACTGATATCAAAATTGTGAACGATATACATGACCGATTTTTGTATCGATCGATGGTGAGTCACTTCCATCGATCGTCATGGATAGGGTTATGTCGGGCGATGTAGACAGGGTCTCATCGGTCGATAAAGGTAGTGATCGTGTAGCTATGTTCCTAAAAACAAATAAAAACAAAAGTAATAAGTAAAAATAAAATAAAACTAAGTAAGAAAATACCTAACAGTGGGTTTCCTCCCACTCAGCGCTTAATTAAAGTCATTTAGCTTGACTATGGAGGTATTGTGGCTAGTGAGGTGGGTTGCAGGTACTTGTTGGGAAACAAGTATCCTCCTCGTCTTGTGATTCTTCAAACCATGAAGTTAAAAAGCTTCTTGTGGCTTTCTCTCTTCTGGTCATACTAGCTTGCAAATCTTGGACCTCATAATGGACTCTATGTAGCCACTCCTCAATGTTTGATAAACTGCACTCATGTCGTCCAGTGTTGATGTAGGCGTTCTGTAGATCAGTACTCATCGGCATGGTGTTGAGGTTTTGGGTGTGGTGCACAGGCGAAGGGTTAGTATCGACCAATCTTGGTGTAGGTCTATCGGTCGATGTGGATGGATTTCCATCGGCCGATGGGTTCAGAGACTCGTCGATCGATGCAGATTGTGCAGGTTGGATCGCGAGCTGGTTCTTGATGTTTTCGATCTCCTGCTGAATGTCCTCTACTGTGCATTTCAATTTTTGAACGTCACCCTGTACTGGGAACCAAAATTTGTCGAGTGATCTATGTGCTCTGTCTTCACAGGCTTCAATAGATCTGTAGATCTCCGTTGTGATTTCTTCAAGTTCTTCTCTGGTACAGTATTCTGGTGCGCGAGTATCGATCGATGTGAATGGAGGTTCATCGATCGATAGCTTCTATAAGTGACTCTCGATAGGTTGGTCGTGTCGATCGATGCTGATGGTGTTGTATCGGTCGATGGCCATCTCTGAGATTCAAGTTCTTTGCGAAGTGCATTCACCTCTTCTTTCATGGCTTTTCTTTCTTTGCGAGCGAAGTCATTGCCAGACAGATTCCATAGTAGTTCTCCTTGAAGTGATGCCATGGCTTTCTCATGTTCAGACCTCAATCCTGCTATCTCCCAGTTATGTTCACCGGTTCTTTCATTCAGCATGTGTGTAACCTCTGCTTGTGTGTAGAGCTTGCAAACTGGAACTCCTTTAGTAAACTGTTCAGCATGCTCTGGTAAACAGATACAAGAGCGTCCAAACAGTGTGGCTCGATTCAGCAGCTTCTCAATATCTTCATTGTAAACATGAATGATGTCACCAGCGATGCTTCTTGCATAACCACTCTCATCTCTGTAGACACCATATTCGTCCTTCTTCTCCCGGAAGAAACAACGAAGTCCGTGTTTGAAAGCTCTCTTTCCAAACTCACGATGTATATCGATCGATTCTCGTTTCCAGGTATCGATCGATAGGCGTTGAATTTCTGGATTTGCTGAGTTGGAATGAAGGTTTTCTGCACCATCTTGCTCATGAAGTAGTTGTGGCTGGTGCTGATCGTTCTGGTAGATGGGTGGTTGTGTGTAGGGACTGACTGGTCCATTGGCCATCTGAAGGATGTCTGCAATTTCTTCTTTGGAGATTGGAATGATTCTTCCATCTAGTGCTCGTGCATGGCCTTCAGGATCCCTGAAAATACCAAATTCATTCAGGGTTAGTAATGTAAAATCGATTTTATGTGTTTGTACCTCGGATGGTGTAGATGTGGTATCGATCGATGGTAGAGCAGGTACATCGGTCGATCTGTTGAGGAACATTTCGGTCGATGGCTGTTGCTCCGTGTCGGTCGATACGGGTGCTTCAGGCTGGATCGCGGATGGTAGTGGTGATGTATCTACTGCAAAACTCTCATGATAACAGCTTGCCCAACTCCAATCGAGTAATCTCCGTCGTGTGGCTCATGTGGGACATAGACGGATGCACAGTAGGGTTCGTCGCTCGTTGATTCGAAACGTCGTTTGAGCGATCTGGGTTGGGGCATATCGGTCGATGGACGAAGGTATTTATCGGTCGATGCTCTGAAGATGAAGGATGGGAGAGGAAACTGATTTATAAGAAATAGATTAGCTTTTTATTTATAAGAAATTGTAAACTGATTTATAAAGGTTTATAAATGGCTTAACAATGATTATAAACCAATTTTGCAAGGCTTAAAAACATTTATAAACGATTTATAAACATTTATAAATGATTAATAAATTATATCTATATATATATTCATGATGTATTTGATTTTATAAATAGTTTTGTAAATCCATATAAATTATTTTATAAACCCTTATAAAAATCTTATATAAATTTTTGAAATATATTTATAAGCTCTTATAAATGTGTTTATTCACATTTTACGATGTGCAGCATTATAAAGGATGTGTGTGTTTTTACTCATCGAAAGAACTAAGTAGAAAATTGTAAATATTACTAATCTCAAAAACAAGAAAAACTTCTTATTCAGTCAGGAGAAACTTTGTAACTGTAGCTAATACACATGAAGAAGCTGCCAAAAAAAAATTGAGCAAAAAAATCTGGGGGAAAAATGTAGAACTAGTAGCCTCCCTTGAGATCGTTGACGACTTCGTAGGGGATAGGAGTGACAGTCTCCAAGGTCATATCTTCGACCATGAATCCTGGTTTGGGGCCTTTAGGCTGTCTCTTGGTGCTTATTGTCTCGCCTCTGGCTTTGGCTACAGCTTTGAGCTCATCGTTCTTCTTCTTCCTTACTTTGAACTCCTCAGCACACCTAGACTGCTGCACATGCTCCACATGCACATGAAGTCTCTTCTTTATGATCCTGTTGCCAATCTGAACCATATCCACCAATCATACATATCAGTGAATCATGTTACCCGCCAAGATAGAAACTAAAAAAAGGAGAGTATACTAATGTTTATAGGCAAACTACAGCATTGCGATAGTCATGATACCTTTGTTGGATACTCCAATGATATATATAAATCTTTATAAATGTTATATAAACTCTTCTAGGACAGCTCCAGAGACATGTTCAGCATTTAGTTCTAGGGACATGCTTAGCTTTTAACTCTTTGATCCAATTTAGAAACTCTTTTAATTTAATATACGAAGCACCGCTTCGTACATAAACAGTTAAGAGTCAATGTATGTGTTGATTAAAGGCATCTCTTAAGTCTTACGTGATTTCTCAATCAAGCCTCTATCAAACTACAATCAATTAAGTAGTGAAAGGTTTCAACTCGACCACGCGCCTCACGCGCAGAACCAAAAATTGGCGATTAGGGTTTGGAGGCGCCGCAAAGCTGTCCGCCTTCTCTGTCGTCCTCCGGCGTCACTCGAGACGTCGGTCCTCACCCCGGTCCTCAATCCAAGGCCCTCCCCTCCTTATGGGGAAGAAAAAACCCAAAAAAATCTCCACCGAAAAAGAAGCGAACCAAATCAGCAGCAACTGGATCCCCAGTAGCTGACTCCCCTCCTCCTGTAACTTCGGCGCAGTCTGTTGACAATGTCGTTGCCACAGATACAACAAGTCCACATGTCTCTTTAGCAATGGAACCAAAATTCTCTCCTAGTGCTTCAGAAACAAATTCAGACGTCGCTACTGTGAAGGTTGTGAAAACAACTGTGCCAGAACCGACAACATACGAAGCAGAGGGAAAGTCTTCCCCTGAATCCAATCTCAATGTAGCTAATGTGAAAGATGCGAAAGCATCTGTGCCAGAACTGACAACTCACACAGCAGAAGAAAACCTTCCAGCAGAAAACAACCAGAGTATATATGGCTACGGAAAAGAAATTACTCAAAGATACCTGGTGTGACATGGCCAAAGGCATTGGAAACAAATTACAGAAAAAGGGAACACCTTACACTCTACCTTCCAGAGAAGTATGTATTAAGATTCCCAATTCTGTCATTGAAAAAAACAAGAAATCTTGGGACTGTTTTGTATTGGGACAATTCTATCACGATCCTCCATCTCAAGGTACTGTCTACAACATTGTGAATGGGATTTGGAGTAAACATTTCAGGGATATCACAGTCTCGAAGATGGAAGGGTTTGCTTATCTGTTCCGTATTCCAAACGCATCAACAAGGAATCGAGTCATCAAACAACGGCTATGGCAAATTGAAGTTCAAACAATGTTCGTTGACAAGTGGGAGCCGGGACTATTCCAACCAAACCGGAACTCTCTTCTGCACCGATATGGCTTGAGCTGCGAAATGTTCCCTTCCAATTCTTCAACGAAGATGGGTTGGAACGCATCGCAGGTCTTGTTGGACACCCAAAGTTCCTGCATCCCAACACAGCACACAAAACTGTTATGGATGTTGCCAAAGTCTTTACAATAATAGACCCGAGGAAGCCGTTACCGGAAGCAGTAAATGTGCAGTTTGACTCAGGGGATATCGCAAGAGTATTAGTGTCAAGCCCATGGATGCCACCCGTGTGTGAACACTGTCACGAGATTGGCCATACTAGCAAACGCTGCAAACGCACTTCCTTGTCATGCTCTGTATGTAACTCCACAACGCGCAGCACTTCCTTGTCATGCTCTGTATGTAACTCCACAACGCACTCAACGGAGCGATGTACTCGATCGAAAAAACCTGAAACAGGGCGTGAACCATCAAGGAGGCACAAAGCTAAGGCCCCAGCACAACAATGGCAAGTGTGTAAAGCCTCAGTTCAAGACTTGCCAAGGATCGAAAATAAACCGTATCTTGATAACACGCTCTCCAAGGGGGAACATAGCGGTCTTACCCCCTCTGAAAAGCAGAATGAAGCAGAGTTGGTTGGTCGAGCTACAGAAGATACGGAGGATGGAAAATCCTCGGGGCTTGAACATGATTCCTCAGACACCTTCTCAGCTGAATCAGATGGATATCATGATGATCAATAGGATTTTATCAGGGTTCTTTCTAGGAAGAACAAAAATAAAAACCGCGGGTTAACACCCTCAAAACACTAATATCCCTGTATATAGACCTTTTTTGCTGGAACGTTCGCGGGTTCAACGTATATAGTCACCGCAGAGGATTTAGAAAATGGTGGAAACAAAATAAACCACTTTTCGGGGGTATTATAGAAACCCATGTCAAACAGCCGAAACACCAGAAGTTAATAAATGGGGTATTGCCCGGCTGGAATTTTGCGGAAAATTACGACTTCTCTACACTAGGGAAGATATGGGTGGTGTGGCACCCTTCAGTCAAAGTCACACTACTCCACAAGGCTCTGCGATCAATAACTTGCGAAGTCATCTTACCTAACCATCCGTCTCCCACAGTTGTGACCATTGTCTATGCTTCAAATGACGAGGAGCAACGGAAAGATCTATGGAATGATCTCATTATGTTAAAATCTGATCAGCATATCCAGACCTTGCCATGGATAGTGCTAGGGGATTTCAACCAAACTCTCCACCCTGATGAGCATTCTCGTCCTCTGAACCTCAACATTGATGCTAGCACAAGGCTTTTCCGAGATACTCTTCTCAACGCTGACCTAGGAGACTTAACCTACAGAGGTCCTAAGTTCTCTTGGACAAATAAAAGCAAAACAAATCTTATTGCCAAAAAACTCAACAGAGTTCTGGTGAATGATGAATGGCTTACTGCACTGCCTTCTTCTTATGCTCTCTTCGGCGAACCTGACTTCTCAGACCATTCAGTCTGCTGTGTAACATTACACCAAGGCTTGACCAGGGAGAAAAGACCTTTTCGGTTCTATAATTTTCTATTGCTGAATGAGCAGTTTATGGATTTTCTAACAGAACAGTGGTTCACATTGAACTTCTCAGGTTCTGCCATGTTCAGAATTTCTAAGAAGTTGAAAGCAATCAAGAATGGCATTAGAAGTTTCAGCAGAGACAATTTCTCGAATCTGGAAAAGCGAGTAGAAGAAGCTCACAAACTTCTCCTCTCTGCTCAGACAGAAGCACTAGAAGATCCTACAAACTCGAATGCTATTAGAGAAGCCGAGGCTTATGATTCTTGGCTGAACTTATCCAAGGCGGAGGAACTCTTTCTCTTTCAGAGAGCACACATAACTTGGATTCTAGGTGGAGATTGTAACTCAGCGTACTACCACAGGTTAAAAGAATCAAGAAGATCATCAAATCATATTCACTATCTTCTAGATAACCTTGGAGAACGAGTGGAGGGTCAAACAGGGGTTCATAGGATCTGTATAGAATATTTTTCAAATCTAATGGGAGCAGAACAGACTCCGTCACTTCTTGACGCAAGGGATTTATCAGTGCTGATGCCTTTTCGCTGCTCTGAAACCCAGAAGGCCAGCCTTACAATGAATTTCACGAGGCAAGAAATTAGAGAAGCTTTCTTTTCCCTTCCAGCGAATAAAACAAGTGGACCAGATGGTTTCTCAGCTGAATTCTTCAGGGGAGCGTGGAGCATAGTTGGAGCAGAGGCAACTGATGCGATCCTTGAATTCTTCAGGTCTGGAAAGCTCTTAAAACAGTGGAACTCCACAACGTTGATTCTGATCCCCAAGTCTACAAACGCAGATAAAGCCAAGGACTTCAGACCAATATCCTGTGTTAACACGCTATACAAGGTCATCTCTAAACTACTAACTCAGCGGCTCCAAGTGATCTTCGAACATGTCATCTCACCCTCTCAATCAGTGTTCATCAAAGGGAGACTGTTAGCAGAAAATGTTCTTCTTGCAACTGAGATGGTTCATGGGTACAACAGAAGAAATATTTCAAAAAGAGGTATGCTAAAGGTTGACTTGAGGAAGGCGTTCGATTCATTAAGATGGGATTTCATCTTAGAGACACTCAGAGCCATTAACGTCCCTGAAACCTTCATCAACTGGATCCAAGAATGCATTAATTCTCCTACCTTCTCTGTGGCAGTCAATGGAGTGTCAGGAGGGTATTTTAAGAGCTCAAAGGGATTGCACCAAGGGGACCCTTTATCGCCATACCTCTTTATACTAGCAATGGAGGTCTTCTCTCGATTGATGTACTCAACATTTGATTCAGGATACATCACCTACCATCCCAATGCTTCTGAAATTGGCTTCTGGCACTTGATGTTCGCCGACGATGTGATGATATTCTTTGATGGAGGCAGTGCCTCACTTCATGCTATCTCTGAAACATTGGAGGATTTTGCTGGATGGTCAGGTTTGCAGGTCAATCGAGATAAGTCTGAGCTCTTCCTAGCCGGACAAAGCAGTCAAGACTTGACCGAAATAGCAAGGTATGAATACCCAATTGGAACATTGCCTATTAGATACCTTGGACTACCGTTGATGCATAGGAAACTTAGGATCTCAGAGTATGATCCTTTGTTGAATAAGCTTGCTGCCACTTTTCGCGCATGGGCTGTTAAGATGCTTAGCTATGCTGGACGCCTGCAACTCTTATCCTCAGTCATTAACGGTACGGTAAACTTCTGGATGACTACATTCATGCTGCCGAAAAGCTGTGTGAAGAAAATAAAATCCATGTGCTCGAGATTCTTGTGGTCAGGAAATATTGAAAATAAAGCAAACGCAAAAGTTGCATGGGACACTATCTGTCTTCCGAAAGATAAAGGTGGTTTAGGCCTAAGAAAGTATCACATCTGGAATAAAGTCCTTTGTCTACGGTTTGTCTGGCTAATATTCTCTGAGACAAACTCACTTTGGGCAAAATGGCACAGACACCACATTCTTCAAATGTGTATTCTTGTTTTTATTCTTTTTTGCCAAGAAAATACAAACTTAGGCTTTTGTAATCCTAACTTTTCATTTATGAATATTCACAGTTTAGCAAAAAAAAAAAAGTAGTGAAAGAAAGGTAATCATCTTATTTATAAGAGGTTA